TTCCCGTACCTAACGGCCCGTCGCGGCGCCACGCCCGGCCGCCACGCCACCTTCGCTCGGGTTAAACCGACGTCCGCCCGTCGACAACCTCCAACCCTTGGAGAGCGCCAGCTGGAGCAGCGCACTGTTGCTGACGACCTGCTGACGTAGGCCCGTGAGCTGGCCCTCGTGGCGCGACGGGTGCAGCAGGAAGACGCGCCGGCTCACGGCGTACTTGAGGAAGCCGTCGCCGAGCAGCTCAGCGCGCTCGTACGAGAAGGCCTCCTGGCACGAGGATGACGTCAGCGCCTGGAGGACCTGCGGAAACGGAAGCGAGTGTGTGAGATTCTTATCTTTAATACTTTTGAAATATTGGATGTCTCAGGCGCTTTCTGACAGCGTACTTTAGGAAGCCGTCGCCTAGCAGCTCGTCGCACTCGTACGAGAAGACCTCCTGGCACGAGGACGACGTCAGCGCCTGGAGGACCTGCGGGAACGAGAGAAAGAGCGTCGAGCTCAAAAGATCGGCACTTCTTAGTTATCAAGCTTCCAAGGGGCTTTTGACAAACCACTTGAGGAAGCGGTTTCCGAGCAGGTCCGCGCGCTTGTACGAACAGGCCTCCTGACCTGAGGATGACGTCAGGCTTGGAAGACCTAGGGACAGAAGAAAGAATCTGTAAGGTTGGGGCTTTCATGATCAGCTGAATCGGGCCTTCAGGGCGCTTTTCGACTGCGTTTTGTAAGAAGCCGTCGCCCAGAAGCTCTGCGCGCTTGTAGGAGAACGCTTCTTGGCACGAGGATGACGTCAGCGCCTGAGAAACCTGACGGCAGGGAAGGTGTGAGATGACGTGGATGTTCTGAGTATCGTTTCCATTGGGCGCTGATCAATGGCGTAGTTGAGGACGCCGTCGCCCAGATGTATTGCGCACTCGTATGAGCTCGCCTCCTGGCATGCGGATGACGTCAGCGCCTGGAAGACTTGGAGCGAAAGGGAGATCAACCGTCCCTTTCCCCGACCGGATTGCATCTCCGGTCGGAAGGACCAGGGGGTGCAATCCAAGGAATCTAAGGATACGAGAGGAAAACTTGATACGACAAGATTAGGTACCGATAGGCGCAGGAACGCAACTCATGTGGTGCGATTTCGTACCTGGACATGTGCCAATTCCATAGTGGCAAGCGAAGTCTTTCCTGCAAATTCGGAGCTTGGACTCTAACAAGAACCACCTTCTTCTCCTTGCCTCCTTGACGACACTAGCAACCAGTGCCGAGGAAAAGAACGCTTTTATCGAATCAGCCCAGGAAACCTTCAAACATCTCAGAAATGTTACCCACTCAAATACATATTTAATTTGTATAACTCAACCTAGTCTTTGCAAGGAACTCACCTTCTCTAACCCTATCGGCAGCCCGATCGCGGCCCGCAGCTGTGCAGCGACCATAAGAGACTCGATCCGTCGCATGACGGACGGCATGTGAAGGCCCGTCCGCAGGACGTCGCTCCCGATCGGGTGCAACTGGCACAGCTCCGCCGGCAGCTGTACAAAGAAGTCGGGCCGCGACGACTCGGCTCCTGCAATCGGGAGAAGAGGTGACGTCAGCGGACGTCACAGTTTCCGAGTTTGATAAGCTCGAGGTGATTGGCCTCTCATGATGAGAGGTAGCACAGAGCTTCGTAAGGGACCGTACGCAACGCAGAGACTCTGCTGAGATCCATGCGACCAATGACTTATTGGGGTAGCTGCAAGTTTCCGACGAATAAGCAGCCCTGGTGCTTGTCTATCGAAAAGGTGCGGCTGCTTTCTAATTCATAGCTGCCTTTTTCTCTGCATGCTGAAACATAGAGACCATGGAGGCTTACCAGTCTCTGTGGTGGAGTCAAAGCGCGGCACCAAGTGGTTGCGCGCGCGCGGGACGCCCGAGCAGTGCAGCAGGGGCTGCTTCCGGTGAAGCAGCTTGAGGCCGTACCTGCGGAAAGAAACCGGTTTCGGGATGTCACCGATTCAGGCAGTCTCAGCCTAAAAGCACTAGAAACACCTTCTGAGTGTAGGTAGCAAGTGATAAATTGTCATGTGACATTGCGAAAGTCATGCCTTCGCTGTAGGAGACCTGCCAGGAATGGGTTGGAAATCATGAAAATTTTCCGGGGGTCGGCCGATAGAGGAGTGTATTGAGTGGGGGTCGATGTTGGAACGAGCTTGCACTGTGAAAGGCAGGACTGAACGCGTTCACATGGGAGAGTAGTGAAAGCGGACAGAGGGGTGGGGTCAACAACCGGACAAAAAAGCAAGTCTAAGGTTAATTGAGTGTAAATATGATAAGCGGATGTTGTAGAGGTAAGAGTTCGAAGAAGCTTCGAAAGGTCGAAGGCAACGACTCACCGTTTCCAATAGTACTCGGTGAATGTTGCATACTCTGGGGGCGACGTGGCGTTGTCCTTCTGAGGAAAGGGGCTGTCTGCATCTAGTTCGAGCTCAACCCTGTCCACGAAAAAGCGCTTGCCGCTGTGCGTGGCGATGACGACACGACCCTGCAGAGAAGATAGCCAAGAGAACGTTACAAGACTGCGAGAGAGATTGAAGAGACTGCGAATCAAGCGCTTCAAGTAGTAAAGACGATGTGGTGGTTTCAAACCAGTTGCGTAGGATTTTGTCATCATCTTGCCAAAGCAGGCACTTGCGGGAAGTCACCAACATCTGCTCTCAGTGACGCCGAAATGGGAATCAAGCTCGGCAAAGGAGTGCGCGAAGTTTGGGCTTTTTACTTCCAGATTGGACACACGATGACGCCCAAAAGATAAAAAGCGCCTAGTTCGCATCTTAAGAGATACAAAGACCACGCCCAAAATAGAGGATAACGATCGGCCCTCTTGATGGGGACGAGCCGTAACCAAGACATAGCTAGCCCCAAACCATTCAAGGTTAAGCTCAACCCACCCGCAGGGCATCCGGATCCACCGGTCCGTCCGCCAGCACAAGCGCGCCGTCCCATCGCTTCATCGACGATTGACTGCTGCTCCGTTTCAGCGCCCGCCCGCTCTTCGCCAACCCCTTGAATCCTCGGTCCTCCTTCTGGCTCTCGTCCGACGACGACCGCTCATATGAGGTCATTGCGCGAACGCTGCCACTGCGAGGCAGAGGCCCCCTCCCAGAACCATCTTTCGACCCCTGGCTTGACCCGTCTCTTGACCCGTCTCTTGACCCTGGGTTTGACCCGTCTTTCGAACCGCCGGATCCCCCCGAATCGGGGCGCGGCTCGAAGGCCTGCGCGCCGCTGTTGAGCTGCAGGCCCCGAGGGGGGGTGCTTGCGGGGCTCCTACGACCCCCCCGGCCTGGGGCGTGCATTACCCCCCCCTCCATGGCAGCCTGCTGCTCTGGTGTTGGCAGCCCCCCAGAAGCAATCTGCTCAATCACTTCCGCTGCCGAGACAAGCCCGCTGCCCTGACGCTTCAGGGGCGGGGGGGCAGCGTTCTGACTAGAATAGCCCCCCCGCTGCTGGTAAAATGCTGATGCGCTCTTGTGCCCCATCCGCTGGTGCATTGGCGAGTGCACGGGCGACGGACTTTGCATCGGGTTTACCCCCGGGTTGAAGTAACCCGGAAGGGGAACGGGTACCGGGGTGGGGGGGTATTGGTGCGGGCCAAAATCGACCCCCGGGGATGGGGACGACGCTCCCGAGCGGGGGCTCTGGTGACCGGGGAACTGGACGTGGGGGATTTGGATCGGGGGCGTGAAGTGGGGCTGGTTAAGCGCGTTTTGGGTTTGGCTAACTGCGGCGTTTGCAGCGGCGTTGGCACTTGCGACGACCTGGGACTGTGCGTGCAGGAGCGTGTTGACGGCGTGCTGCTTGGCCGCGGGATCTGTGGCCGCTGCTAGTTGCTGCTGTGCTGCGACGGCGCCCATAAGCGCCTGCAAGCGGAAACCGATCTTTCTTATGAACTGGAGCGGTCAGCTTTTCATCCGAAAAAGATCTTGGATCCGCTTACGGAGCTTGGCTCGTCCGAGATCAAAACGTCTAGGCTTTCCTGTCTGTAAAAAGTTCCAGTCCTCCGCTCAGCATCGGAGGAGGTTGTTGGTAAAGCTATCCAACCCAGCTTTGAACGATGTTAAGCGAGCATGCTTCTCTCAGCATCTGAATCTACGTTGCTGCATGTTTCCCAACAGAATACGAAGTCTCAGGTATTCCTAGCAGTATCCTTCCCTCTGCGCACGCCACCAAATATATTGTGGAGAGCCTGCACGCCATGTGGATCCGTTGATCTGTTTCGATCTTGAGAACAATTTCCTATCAAAAGAAATGTGCATCTTGACATCACTGCTTGCACGATCTTTTCCACATCATAACGAAAGAATAACAACATTAATCATAAGCTTTCGTACCAACGAAAACAAACTTTCCATAGCTTGGCCCCAACTGCCCACCTGTTGCTGTGTCATCAACGCCGCGAGCGCCGCGTTGTTCGCCGCCATCATTTGTTGCAGCGCCATCTGCTGACCCAACCCAGGGTCTGCATTCTGCTGCAACAGGGGAATCGGAATCGGGTACTGCGCCGCCGGCCCCGGCATCCCTAAATGTGGGGGCGGAAACACCTGCGCATTCAGCCCCCCGGAAGGTGAAAGCGGCGGCGTCCCGGACTGCGTCCTGCGGTGGGGGGAGTGCGCTCCCCTGGTCAATCCTGGTGGGGGGGACCCCTGAAACCGAGCAGGAACGGAGTTCGTCCGCACCAGATTTAACCCCCCCCTCCCGGGCCCCTGCCCGCGCCCCCCCATTGGGCTGCGAGTTCGTCGTGGCTTCCCTTTCCCATCCCCACCCCCAAAATGGTCATAACCTCGGAATGACGTATACGCTCCGATCGGCGCCCAGTCTCCCGGAGACTCCGGCCTACTGAAGAAACCGTCTCGGCTCCCTCCCGCCGTGGAGTCGCTCCCTCCCGAGGATGACGTCATCGGCCTCGGGGTGACGTCACCCCCCTCGCTGGACTTTGCCACCCAGACCTGCTGGGTAACTTTCTTGTCCTGAGGTTTCTCCGGGGTTAAGGTAACCCAAGCTGGGTCACGCGACACCGTCTTGATCACCTCCCAGTTGATGTCCCACGGACGGTTCCGGCTTAACCCGAGCTGACCCGACTTCTTAACCATGGGAACGAGGCAGTACAGTTTGGCCGGATCCCACTCGGCTTCGCTTGGAGGAAGGCTGAGCTCGAGAACCGTGCTCAGTAGCCGGATGTGTAACTCCTTGAGGAACTTGACCTGAACAAAGCAAAAGAGTGGGTTTGAAATAACCCTGTGACTGTGTTGGGCATCTGGTTAGGAGATCAAAGAGTAGGTAATACAATTGAGTACAAAGAGCTGGCTGCCAATACCCTACAGATCTAGTAAAGGAACTTGATACTGGCTGAGGAAGTTCTGTTGAGCAGAATGAAATGGGGATTCGAACGACAACCTGGAGTCTAGAAACGCAACACTCACACTTAGAAGACAGCTTATCTTGCACAAAGCTGGACGATGCAAAGAAAGGTGATTGTGGAAGAGGTCTGGATACATCACGGTCAATATGACCTCACGCGTCCAACCCCATTCGACGGCGTTAATGAATCGAACGAGGGAGTTGGGAAAGCGGATTGTCCAGATAAGTACACTCGAAAGAGCTGCTAAACTTGAAGTAGAGCCGGGAAGCGTTCGCTCACATCTGTCTGCGCTAGGTGCACCTCCCCGCAGTAGAGCACCCGGGCTGACGTCACCACGTCCTTCTTCACAAAGAGCTCCGTTTCGAGTGCCAGCACATCCCCCTCGATCTGCTGCTCCAAAACGAACCCGAAGCTCGTCACGCTCTCATCGCCTTCGAAACCCTCTTCCTCTTCCCCGTCCGCATCTCCCAAGTCCGCACCGCTTTCCATCCCCGCCGTCTCTAGTTCCTTTCCATCCCATCCCGCTCGTGCATCTTCCTCCATTTTCTCTGCACCCGCTCGCCCTTCCGTTCCAGACTCCATCGCCCCCCCCTCTTTACCAGCTTGTTCCGAGCCCCCCTCCATGTCAACCCCCTTCTCCAAAGCTTCCCCATCCGTTTTCGCTCCCCTTTTCCGCTTCTTCACGATCTGCACCGCATACAGTTGCATCACCGTCTTCTCCCCTTTCTTCCGCTTTTCCAGCACCCACCGGCCCCCGAGCGCTGCCGCCGGCTTCTCCCGATACGCCCGCCGCTTCACCGGGCCGTCAGCCGGCAGAACAACGTCCCCACTCACAGGGCCTTCCGTTTCCGGAGTGCCCAAGTCTGGCAGCAGCATATCCGTCAAGGCCCCGTTTTGGTGGAGCTGCTTGCAGGCCTCCAGGCACGCGGCCTGCTGCGCCTTGTGCATGGACTCCTTTTCGGGGCCTTTGACGATCTGGAGGGGGGCGTTACACGGCAGGTGTAGCTCGCAGGTGTACGTTACACCCCCGCCAGGGACGACACTCTCCTGGACTCGGTACTCCGGTTGAAGCTCGGTGTACCTATGAAAAGGGGCAAGTCGCTCAGGTGCCAAGTCGCGTTTTGTCACACTAGATCAAAGGTTGTCTCAAGGGGATAACACGACTCACGGAATTTTGTATCGGAAGGAGAAGGAAGAGAGGGGCTCAAGTGTTTCCATCGTAAGGAGCAAAGAGAATGCAAGAGCGCCAAGCTCAGTCGTCATAAGGCAGCTTGGAGGTAAGGCAGCTTGGAGGTAGTAAAGATCAAGACTATCTCAATAGAGCTGACAGCGATGTAGAAAGAGAAGCGGGAGATACGCTCATAGCGCATCATCGAGCAGCAAGCGGCAAATCCACCTTTGACTGCCATCAAAGAGAAACCCAATCACCAAGTAAAAGGCAGCAGACAGACCTGCGTAGAAGAGAGCCTCACGAGGTTCCAAAGGAGCGTAGAGAACGAGTGGGTCGTAAGCTAACCCTTGCGCCTTCAAGATTCAAAGAAGGAAAGAAGACGGTACAAGTGACGGGAATTGCCATGATGAGCTCACTTGTCGTGTGGCAGTTTGGAGCAGTAGTAGTTGATCAATTGCACGGCGGAATTCATGCTAACGAGCGCGCCCGTCAGCGGCACCGTGTAGGTCGCGTCATCGGGCGCCGGCGCGGGCACCTCAATCGTCATCTCCGACCGTTGGATGGCCTCCCGCCGCATCTTCTCCTCGCTCGAGCGCGCACCCGCTACGTACTCGTTGTGCTCCGCGTTGTTCCTGCGCGTGCAAGCTCTTTTGAGTTTCAAATTACCCGTTTCGCAGGTTTAGAGATGCCCGAAGTCATATCCTTGGGACTTCGGTGAGGTTGAGTAACTTAGGAGAGAAAGTCCTTCGCTTTACTCGAGCGCGCGCTCCACATACTTGGCATGCTCTGTTGTCCCCGCAAGCGGAAGTCGTGACGGTTTGGTTTTATCCTGATGAGGAGACTGTCGGGACATGGTTGGCCAGAACGGTACAGGGAGTAGTAGACTAATTGGGTCGCGCGCCAGCCACGTACTCGGCCTGCTCTGCGATTATATCTGCAGACGTAAACGCTGCGGGTTTTGATTCTTCCAAAGTTCAGGCACTTGTTTGTGTAGATAATTTTAGCGAGGTACTCGGCATGCTCCGCCTCGTCCTGAAAGTGCAAGCGTTGAGGGGTTTTAAGGGTTTCTGGAAACGACTCTGTCGGAAAATCAGGCATCGAGGCTGAAATCCCGCAACCGAGAAGGCCAACAAGCTAGAGCAAAACGGATTCAAATCACCTCAAGCAAACCACTGCCTGGGCCTTCTCTTTGAGAGCCCAAGGCTTTCCAACCGGACACAAGAAGCTCCAATCACGTCCCCGAGAAAATCACAGTAAGAATCAGAAAACCTGAAGCTCCAGAGCTCAACTCGTCCTACCTTTCGACCATGAGCACATAGTCCGACCCCGGCCGTCGCGCCCGCCCCCGGCTCTGAATGTACCCACAGACCGTCTTCGCCAGGTCAAACCGGATCACGGAATGACACGCCTGGATGTCCAAACCCTCTTCGGCCACCGACGTCGCAATCAGGAGCGTGACGTGCCCTGCCCTGAAGTTGTCAATGACTTCCTGTTGGTCTCGGGACTTCATGTGTTGATTGGCGTGGCCGATGAGCGCGCAGCAGACTAGAAAGCGGAGGGAGGGCAATTCCAGCATAAGGCTCGGGAGGACCTGCGAAAGGAGGGGCGGTTTAGCGATTTGACAATGAGCTCTAAGAAGAGTATTTGAAGTGCCTTCGTGATCACTTCAAGAAGCCTCAATTGAGTTTCTGGAAATTTCATGAGTTCCTTTGTTGGTCGGCATTACCAATGAGCACGCAGCAGACCAGAAAGCGGAGGGACGAGAGCTCCAGCATGAGGCTCGGCAACACCTGAAAGGGCCGTGGCTTCAGATTTCGTCGGCCTTTCCAAGTTCTAGGATTTCGACAAGCAGAAGTGGTAACTGGGGCCCGGGTCTTTTGGGCAACGACAAGCACCGTCTCAGAGCCCCTTCCAAGTTGGTGTCATAGGCGCGACTTGTGAGAAGGTACGAGCATTTGAGAGTCTTTCCTTTGGCAAACAGGTTTGCACATCAACTCTCGTGACACTCAAAGGCACTCGCCAAACACCTTCCCGACGAAACGCATGCAGGTACACACTCTGCATACCCACCCCTGGATGATCCGGTCCGCAAAGGCGGATTGCTCTCCCTTCTGATTCTGCGTGAATCGCGACAACTCACCTTCGCCGTTGCAATGCGCTCCACAAATACAATGCACCGGAAGTCTTCCGCATCGCCCCTGTACTCCAGGAGCGTCCGCACTAGCGCCTGCACCTTCGGACTGACCAGCCCGTCCTTCACCGCCCCCCCCAGAATCGGGTCAGAATGGTCCCCCCCGGGCCGGTTCTGCGCCTCCTCGGGGGATCCCCCGGAAGCTTCCGAAAGCGCCGGCCCCTCTTGTAAAGTGCACCGGAGGAGTTTGACGGCGCTTCGAAGATAGGCCAGCTGGACCTCGCGCTGTTCCGGGTCGCCTGGCGGGGCCGAACCGGGCAGTGGGTCTTGCTCGGAGACCTTCTTGAGGTATCGCTTGGCCACCTAAGAAAGGAGCCCAATTTCTATATCAAACAGTAAAACGGGTATGCTGAAACAGGTGCATGAGGTCTCGGCCATTTGTATTGCGAGAGGACTGACCTTCGTCGCAGGCCTCCTTTTTGTCGGGGAACTCTAGGACGGAAGGTCGTGAAAAGGGGTTTCTTCGGCATTTTATCCAAGCGGATTGGACGACTTCCGGCCTGCTGTTCTTACCAACGACACTTCACAAAGAAGGCTCGTAAAAAAAGAGCTCTATGGCGATTGTATCGAAGGGGTTTGGAAAACTTCCATCCTGCTGTTCTTACCAACCACCTCAAGGCAGTCGAAGACAAGACCGTGAATCCGCGACGGTGGACCGACAGGGTTCGGCACTAACCTTGTACGCAAACCACTGGCCCAACTCGTCGAGCACGTACAGGATCGACCCCAGCTTCTGCAGCAGCGTCGTCGACTTGCCCCCCTCTTCCCGTTTCTTCCAATACAGCATCCTACCCTCCCGACTTTTCCCACTCTCCTTTTCCCCCCTGCTACCAGAATCCTCTACCGAACCGTCTCCTGACATATTCCCGGTCAATCCGGACCCCCCCGCTTCATCCACCTCCATATTTTCCACCCCTCCTTTCTCTTCCGGCCCGTCTTGCCCCTCTTTCTTCTCCCCCACTGCGGCCTCCTCCGGCTTCTCTTCCGGGTGGGCAGTCGGGACCGCCACCCACTTCCTCTTCTTCCCCCCTGTTGGACTCGCTTTCTCAACCTCCTGCATAAGCGCCTCTAGCTCCGCCCGTATTGAGTATTTCACTAAGGGGGGGTCGTACTCGACGATCCGCTCGTGGGGGGTCGGAACGAACTGGTCCAGGACCCCCCGGTCCTGGATGGTGCACACCCGGGCGTCGAGCTTTACTTCCAAGCTCCGTAGCTTGTATGCGCAATCCTCCTGAGAGGAGACACCTGGCGATGGACGAAACAAGGATTGAGATAAGTTGGAATGATTTTCCGCTGATTGGAACCGGGAAAGAAGAACAGATTTAGCGAGCCCGTATGGAGACAATGAAAGCCCACTTTTCCAAAGGCCCTTTCGCGTTTCGTGCCTTCTCAAAACCTTTATTGATCCTTACAAAAAGTGATACACGAAGTCTCAAATCCAAACTAGCAAACTGCATTTCTCATTTTGAAGCTCGCGTTTCCGGGCGTTAGCATGCGAACATGCGAAACCGTATCCTACTTGCGATACTCGAGGGGGAGTCGACTCGGATTGCCTCATTATGACGTTGACAAGGGCTTGTCCGCACCAAGACTATTTCGAAACTTACGGTCTATCTCTTCTTCGACACAGATTGCAAAACAGCGAAATAGACAGCGGGATTTCAAGGGTCAGGCCGTCATTGATATCATACCATCGTGTAAACAATACAAACTGCTCACCCTTGAGGTTGACGGGCGATGCCGTCATCCCGAAGATGGCGGGTCGCTGGTCGGGCGGCGCAGGATGGTACGCCTCCTCCATGATAAGGCTGTACGGATGCTTCTTGACGGCGTGGTGACACTCGTCGAGAATGAGCAGGCCGACTGCGCTCATCTTGAGAAAACTGTGGCGCAGGATGTTCAGGAAGATCTGGGCCGTCATGACCAGAACCTGCGGTTATGCGGTGAATCTGAATGTTAGTGATAGGAACTTTCTTGTGGCAAGAAGGACAAGCTGAGAGAGTTGCCCCACTTGTCGAGAACTAATAGGCTGACTGCGCTCATCTTGAGGAAGCTGTGGCGCGGGATGTTCAGGAAGATCTGGGCCGTCATCACTAACCCTGCAAAGAGATGCGGCGGTTCAATGCTAGAAAGTCTCTCGAACAGAGGGAGGATCTGCTGAATAAGTGTAGGCACTCGTCCAGGATTAGCAGGCCGGCTGACGATTGTCTTGAACGGACTTTGGGGCAGAAGGTTTAGGAAGAACTGGGCCGTCATTACTAGCACCTGCAAAGAAGGGCGGTGATGTTACGGTTTGGTGCTACATGGTCTCCTGGCAGCAAAAAAACGAGGTGGCGCCACGCGTTCAGGATCCGGGCCGTCATCACCAGCAAATCGTAAGAGATGCTGTGGATCCCACGTGCAAGTTCTACGAAGGACTTTTGTTCCGAGAGACAACCTGGTTATCAAATGGCGGCTCTACTTACCCAAGAATCCATGTGAGTGACACAGATAGAAGTAAAGGTGGTTGCAGACGACGGGAATTATCTAAAGGCACACGAGTTCGACACACTTGCAGCATTCTTGCAGGCTGTGAAGCTGGCCTACTAAAGAAAACTTATTTGTGCTAGAAGCTGTCTGACCCACTTCGTTGTAACAATGCCCCCTTGGTTCTGTGATGAGAGATGCTCGCTCTGACAGACCAACTGCTCTTAAAAGATGGTGACAAGATCTAAACCTTTAGGTCACCTGGCCCACAGCCAATAACCAAGAAGGTCTTGAACTAACCCACCTCGTTCTCTTCGAATTCCTTAAGCCACGTGGCCTGGTCCCAAAAGTCGACGCCCATCTCCCCACAGTAGTGCCCCACCTTGAGCCCCGTGTTCACACGCACCACATCGGATTGCTGCAGAGGACATATTGAGAGGTGACATGAATATTTGGTTCTGCCACCTCCCCTCCTTCCAGGACACTAGAGGCAGCCACAACGTCCAGCATGAGAAGGGTTTCTCATACTTTGGCTGCTTGCGAGCAGAATTGGATACTCCATTTACTCTTCTATTACGGTATCCCGTCGGCAAATTGATTTCATGTCCCACAGTGTGTACCTTAAAGACGTAATCACGGCGCTTCCTTCTCACGACATCAGCCTTGAATGCCAAGCAGTTGGGTGAATCTGTGTCCACATAAACGTTTGAGTGACAATACGATTCAGGCTGTAGCTATCACCCTGTGTCCCCAGGCTTACCACCTTCCACCGACAGTGACTCATTCTAGTTCAAGCCCTAATAACCTTTGGCACTATGCTCACCTGATACACGAGCGGAATCTTGGGGACCAGAAACACCGACAGTTTCTTCTTGCCTTGCTGCCTGAACTCCTCTGCCTTCTCCTTGATCAGCATAACCTGCAGTGGTGGTAGCAAGCGGCTGACGGCTGTTTGACCGAACTTCGACTGATACTTGAAGTCAGAAAAGAGGTGCCAATAATTTGAAGCAAGTAGTTTACTTCACATTGTGAGGTGCTTCAATTGGGGTCCTGTACTTGTTAAAGGCATTCGCATTGATATAATTATCCTCCACGGACTGCCTTGACTTCTTAGACTTTCTGTGAACGTTTCATTCCGCCACCTCACAACTAAAGTTGGGGGTTGGTCTTTGGAATGTGGGAAGAACGTTGGCCCCCAGAACGTTCGCTTGATCTATGATAAGATATCTTGCATAACCTGCGGGCCTCGTTTGTCTAGAGAGCAAAATCCCCGAAATCTGGGGCTGAAAGCGACAGATAAGACAGACAGGAGGCAGAGGAAGTGAAGGAGCAGGCGACGATCACTATATTTGTGATTTCTGTAGCACTATGTTGAGGGTGCTTTTTGTTGCTGACACAAGAATTTTCTATAGGGAACTGTGTGAATCAAAGCCTGCTAGGATCTGAGTCGCTCAGTTGAGCTTTGTTTCTGAAGGCGACCACTGTTAGAAGCACTCTACATCGCACCGGACTTGTCAAGTAGATGCAAACCAAGAGCTGTTGGGGTAGAGTGTTGTCATGGGAAAAAAATGAATTGAACGACTGTCACCAATAGAAAAGATTGGAGGAAAAGTATGACTGACCGCAATCAACGTCTTGCCGCTCCCCGTTTCAAGGAATGCAATCGTGTTCTCCTTCCTCGCCTGCGCCAGCACCTCCAGCTGATAGCTCCGCGCCACCTCACTTAGCGGCCGAGTGCCTTCCTCAGAATCAGTGCTCCGCTCAGACCCAACGTCCCCTGCCGGGGCACCCATTTCTATATCGGAGCCCTTCTCCTCCGAAAGAGGAACGTTGTCTGGGAGTGATACATCAGAGTCAGAGCGTTGAGTTTCTCCCAAATCCTCGTCTGAGACTGCGGCCGGCGAAGCAGACTGCAACTTTTGTTTGACAGGGTCCGCTGCTGGAGTAGTTGGGGCGCCGGTGCTGTCTCTTACAGCCACACCTAGTCGCTCAGGACTGCCCAAGTTCATCTCTAAACCCCCGTCCCCTTGCCCTTCTCCACGGCCCGCCGGGGCATCAAACTCAAACGACGAGCGCATTCCTTCCCCCTGATCCACCTGCATTCTGCTTGCACTTCCCACCACACTAAACCTTCCCGCCTCTTGGCCGCCACTTGGTCTATCTTCTATTCTGTCGGCGCCCCTCATGCCACCCAGATCTTCCTCGTTCTGCAACTTTTCATTGTCCTCCGGAAGATCTGACGGTGCGCCTGGTGACCCGAACCCTGGCGCCGCCGCGCTCCCATCCCCACTGTTACCAGCCACAGGAGATTTAGTCGGCCAGATCCTTGCAGGCGAGGTATCCTGCAGCTCTTTGGAAGTTTCATTTCCTGGGTCCGCATTCAAGCTTGCACCTACTTCCAGCGAAACTCCCTTCCGAACGCTCCCGTCACTGCTTGCATCCATCGTTCGATTCTGTTGGCTCCTTCCCCCAGATATGAAGGCAGCTCTCCCAAAACCCTCCGCTCTATGGGGGTTGGATTTCACTTGCACCGGCCCCCCCAAATGCACCTCAGTTCCGTCGCCAGCAAAAGGATGGACCCGGCCCCCCGGCCGCCTCGCCGTTCCTTTCGCAGGCACCCCTTTCTCCGAAGGGAGCCTCACTTCACGATCGCTGAGCCCATTGGAACTGGCGCCCGCTGAGTCACCGCTCGGGCGCGCACTTCCACCCATAGCTGCAGCAATGCGCGCACGGCATTCTTCACACTTCAGAGCCCGCCATTGCTTTGATGCTACTAGAATCCGACCCCAGGTGCCCTGGGCCTTGAATGAGAAGAAGACCAGAAGTGGCAACAAGGAACCTCAAGATCGCCATTCTGCACTGCAGAGGGAAAGTGCAATGCCGCATATGGCGCCATCTTGTGCAGGTTGATTGATGAGTCAGAAGCGAACTAGGCTTCGCCGCTTCGGTTGTTTGTGCTCAAACCTGATTGGGTGGCGATGACGTACGGTCCAGATACGAACTGGTGCCGAGAACAATGATTCGCTGTCGGTAGCACCGTTTCGATCCCGAGTGCCCGGCGGGTAGCCTCCGAGAGCCTCTCAAAATGGCGGACAAAAGCAGGCTAGCTTAACTATATTTAACTAAGGGCACGCTGACGCGGGATTCCTGGAACCAAATCACTAACCAGATTGTATGACATACCACGTGACCCGGAGGTACTCGGGACGGATTGACTTTGAAGTGGAACACTCCGCCGGCATCTAAACCTGACGCCGTAAAATGAGGGCAATCGGGCCAATCAGAGGGCTTTCCGACAAGAGATTTTGTCGTACACGCAACCAACCTTTGCCGTCGGATTGGAAAGGAGGTTCACCATCGTACGCTTGCGCATAAGGGGAGTACATTCGTCACAGCACCAACGCCGTGCAGATTCAGCACATGGCGGCCCAGCTGTGGCTACGCGAACATCATTTTGAAGAGCTAGGGTAGCATCATTCAGCCGAAGCCTATTCGAGCAAGGCATTGAACGTCTGAACAACGTAGTGGTATCCCTACATACAAGGAGTCTCGACACGTTATTCAGTAGAGCTTTTACAAGTCACATTGCCTTATTGAAATGATCCATAATCCTGCACAAGGTTCACGAGCATAGTTTTGCTACGGTTTGCAGCCCTCGTGTCCAATCCAACGGTGCATTGACCCGTCATAGCAGAATCTAGAGAACCGAGTTACAAATATAGCAACATTTACGGAATATAAGTTACAGACTTTCACTCACATGACTGTGCAGCAAATTGTATTTGGGAATCATTACTCTACACCATAGTACACAGCCCCTAAGATCAGTTATGACGTCGCAGATATGCTTCGTAAGCCTCGTCTTGCTGCCTTTGGCACTCTTCCTCAAACTCTTCCTCAGATTCGTCCTGCCAAAGGCATTTGGCTGTAGAAGTCTCCCCCTCGTCCGCCTTTCCAGGCACATGGTCCTTTTGGGCAGCCACTGAGGGACGCCGGCGGTCCTTCAAGAACCAGCTTGCCACGGATTCTGCACACGAAAAATGAAGTTAGAAGTCGGCCCAGTCTAGCTTCCTGTCTTCGATCCGGCCAAGGAAAGAAGTTCGACGAAGTCGGTGGTAGGCAACCAAACATTCGCATCCTCTAGTTGCTCACAATAGGTATAATTCAGGACTTGTTCGGAACAATAAATTGCATCAAGTGGTGTTATCGCCTGAAGTTGACTGGCATGCCGGCATTACAGATGCAAAAAATCATTATGTTGCTGAACGTCAACTGATTCACCAATTTCGACGGCTAAAACGAAGTTTGCAAATTCGTGAAAGGTAACTCGTATGGACATATAACAAGACGTCTTCGAACCGAGCTGGTTTCAAAATGTCTCTTCAATTTAGCAATAGTAAACCCTAGAGCAATAGTAAGCTCCGACACTAACACTAAAAACCTAACCTACAAAAACACCCGCTCCGCACCCGAACCCACCCTAACCCCCAAACTAACCCTTTCCGTCCCAGGCTGGTGAGCTTACTATTGCTAAAGCTTACTATTGCTAAATTGAAGATTCTTGTTTCAAACAGGGGGCGCGGATGGTGGCCCCTTTGACGAGCGACAGAGAGCCAGAAAGAAACGCTCCTATTCGGCCGACTCGACAAAGCGCACTTTTTACCCACTGCTCCACGAAGAATCTACTGGTCCAATAGAGATTTGTCGGGCCAAGCACAAATCTCACTTCACCACGATCGGCAGGCCTCTCTCTTTGCGAAGAAAGTGAATATTCAGAACGCATGTGCACTGGTACGCAAGGTTGAGTTGCAGGAAAGGTCCCCACCTGACGAGACTTGCGGAAACGAGAGCTGCCCCTCGGCCGGCTCTTCCGTGGTTGGCTTCAGAAGACCGCACTTTGTACAAAAGACATGTGGGTAGCTGTCCTCGTAGCTTTTGTACTCCTGAACATCAGGTAAAACCGGAGTTATAAAGGAGATCGTTCTTTGACAATAGGTTTAGTAAGCTCAAGTTTTAGTGCTGGGACGGGTACGGTTAGTTTGGTGGTTAACGTGGGTACGGGTGCGAAGCGAGTGACTATTTAGGTTTAGGATTTTTGGTGTTAGTTACCTTCTTACTTAAACTTGAGCTTACTAAACCTATTTTAGAGAAGTATGTCAAGGAGGTTATTCGTCGCGTCCCCACACCAACTGCCTAGGTGACTTCTCTTACAACCCGTTCCTTCGGTCTCGACCGCTTTCTAAGTAGCACAAGGTGCACTGTGTTCACAACGCACCTTTCGTCAGTTGACTGAGACCAAGGGTTGCGAGAGCCCAAAAACCATGGGACACTTTTTCCTCAGGAAACAAAATAATCGAAGGAGGGGCGCATGAAGGTCGCTTGCTTAGAAGAGGTAAGAGATCCACTGCGTGACCAGAAGTGATCCCAAACTCTCACAGCGATGTCAACCTTCTACGATTTCCATTTTGAGCGATTCAGCTGTGCGGACTTTTTGAAAGGCGGAGGCAGCGCTTGCGAAGTAATAGAAACCGCACGGAATGAACGCGAGGCCCTTTTCCTCAGCTAAGTTCCAAAGAGAGCGACACCCTAACCTGAGCTGACGTTGACGGTTGAGAATAGACACGCGACTCACCCCCGTTCGAGATTCAAAAGGACGCTTATCCTTGAAACACTTCTTGCACAGCGGAAGATATTTGGGCGCGCTCCCATCGACGTGCGGGAGCCCCTCTCCGTCGTTCTCGCACTTGCAGAATTGAGCGGGAAGACACGTGCCGCACACAAAGCCGCGATTACACGTGTCGCCAGTGCAGCGGCGGCGCTCCGCCAGCTTGGACTCGTCGTCGCATATCGGACAGAGACCCACGCTGCAGTTCGAGCACATGAAGGCCCTGGCGAAAGAGAGAGAGAATCTGTATTAAGTATCGAGGAACTTTTCGCCTTCGACAAGGAGGGACGAGAGCTTTTCAAGTTACACAATGTTCCCGTCCTGCATCGAGAAAGCGGCAAGGACGTCGGGGCATTTTGGTGAGTCGATTATAGATGGTTTCAGAGGACGGAGACCTTGCCATCTAAAGGCTCGAGCCAAACCCTGTGGTTACCACTAAGAAACAGTCTATTCCATCTGTGCTGTGTGAGAGTCCCGTCAACGGAAAAAACGTCGAGAAGAGCGGCTTTTGAATGTGACAATTGCGTAGCGTCACAGAACACAGGAGCACCGTGATCAAGCCTGGATAGTGGCGAACGGAACCAGTCAACCGTCAAAAGGACGCTCATCAATGAAGCTTGTTAGCAAATAACGTCCAGTGAGGTAGTCACTTGTTGCTGTCGCAGCTTCAACATCAAACGCTACCTATATTTGCACACAAGAAACCCGGAGGTGCCAGGTGGCATTCTAGAAGGAAGCTAGAGATCCAGAAAGGCAGCTGCTCCAAAGCGCATGCTCCTTCCATTGAAAGGCGAACCTTGCGGATCAGAAACTTAAGGTGGAGTTGCCTGGTTTTGTAGACAAGAAGCTCGCTTCTTCTTCAGGTATTGTAAAAATGCCGGGACGAGGACGTGCCAGCTAGGGTCTGTCAGATTACCTGTCCTCATGAGCCTCGAAGCACTTGTCGCAAAACTGGTGGCCGCACTTGAAATGAGCATCGACCGAGTCGCCCTCCAATTCGCACAGGAACTTCTTGCACCGGTCGCAATCGAAGGTGACCTGCACGGAAAGACATTCAGAAATCAGGATTGGCGCATTTTGATACGCACAAAGACCAAACAAAGCTCCTATTGTTGAATGCACCTGAACTTACGGTGGTTCTGCAGGGGCAGGGAATCGAAGGTTTTCGGATAAGAGCAGCAACTATATATTTTCAACCCTTTCCACCCGATCTGCGGTTGACTTCTTTAGACCAAAGCTGCCTTGGTGCTTTCAAAGTAATCCAGTCAATCATGGCGGCATTGCAAACCTGCTTGACAAACCCATACCAATAAGTCCTGTATAATACTTTCTTCAAAGCAATAAGGTCGCCGCATTTCAACACAAAGCTCAAGAAACCAGCTCGCAGGAACGATGACAAGCAGCAAGCAGCTTACCCCCCACTTGTCCGGCTGCCGCAGTTCTCGCACGAGTCGGTTGCCTCTGCTTCCTCACACTCTGCGCACATCTCGATCTCATTCTCCACGAGTTTCCACACGAGTGGCATCGACATGAAGTAGCGCTGGAGCTTGGGGAGCGTGCATTCCTTGAAGGAGACCCCCGCGATCTTCAACCTCCAAAGCCGCCACCTTGCTGCATATAAAGTAGAGCCTTGATAAACAACAATCCGGGCAGCTATGGGGATCTAGCAGCATCAATTACTTGGTGAAAGAATTCCCGAGACCGAGCTGAACCGGCTTTCAGTTACTGTGAAAGTCAGAGCTCGTGTCAGTGCTTGGTGTATCCTCGAAGTGCAAAAAAGTGGTTCAAGAAGGCACAAAGCATCCGGTGACCATGTATCAACGATCTTCTGCCGCATCGCAACCAACTTTCGCAACCTCCAGTGAATGCTTTAGCGATACGTACAAACAAGTAAATGTTTGCAAAAAAACATGGGTAATCCTGCAAGATCACCTCATGACAAGTTGCCTGCTTCCGAGAGGGGACCACATGCAAAATGGCTTTCCTTTGAAATACAGGGACAAGGAACAAACAAGGTAAGGTTAAGCTGCAAGGAAGCATACACCCAGGAGCTCTACAGGATGAGCGTTTAACCATCTGCGGGCCCTCAAAATTCCCTCCGAGTCAGAAGCAAGTCCCAGGAAAATATAGTAGGATTCGTTCCTATCCCTTCAGCCCTAACTATTTCCGCCTTACCCGCCAAATATGTCAAGCGATTGCTCACCTGAACCAAGCCCCGCAGCGTCTGGCAGGTTCATGATGGTGGGAGGCTGGTCATCGGAAAACGCAAACGCGGCGTCCCGCGCGATGCTCGGCTGCTGCGGCTGCGTGGAAGACCACCCTATAAACTGATCAAACCACAGCGGCCGCCGGCCCGGTGGGAGCTCCTCTGCTGCCAAAACCTTGTGCCACAGGTCCGAAACGTCGTCCAACACGTTTGCTTCTTCGCCCGAAGGCTTTGCATCGCTGGCCACCTCGACGCTCATTGGCTGGAAGCGCTTCCTGTTCCAGGGCCTCCGTCGGCGGACTTCTTCCAGGCCCGAGCCATCCGAGCTGGTGTCTGAGTCGAAAAGGCCGCCGCGCTCGGACGGTGTGTCCGAGTCGTAGTCCCCAAGGGACGGCGTCTTCCAGCCATCCGAGTCATCGTCCCGCTCGTCGTTTGCTATCTGCCGCTGATAAAGCTCGCCCCTGTGCAACGCCATCAGCATTCTGCAGAGAAGCTTGAGGCCGCGCCACGAGATCGTGCAGCAGTTTCTGAGGGAAATTTCCTCTGGCACCTCCCTGAGAGACAAGATTACTTGGCGCATACTCATGTCTGTCAATCTGTGACACTCGCTGAGGTCCAGAACCGAAGGGCCCAAGGGACTCATCCTCTTCAAAGCCTGCTTCAGCTTCTCGTCGCTGAAAGCAGGGGCCAGGCATTCTGGGACGATGAGCTTCCTGCATTGTGCGAGTTCCTCTGTAGCGGCTATCCTCCAGTCCCTGGAGACTGCACTGGTAGCTGCAACAAAGAAAAGATCGCCACCAAGATGTGGTAGAATCAGCGGCAGCGCTGCTGCAGGCAGGTCTGTATAACTTTCCTGCTCCTTGTTCACTTTACCGAAGCCTGCGCTGGAGTCATGCTTTGTTGAGTCCTGCATTGCGTTCTGACGTTCAATCAGCAACCAGATCTAGGCACTTGCTTGACTGCGGGCAAATCACAATGTGAGATAGGTACCACTGCAGCACAAACGGCAAATCCTGGCGCTCTTCTCATTTATCCAGCATGTCGCTTCTGCATTTCAATTTTCAGCCTTGAGCAAGCTCCGAGTCTAGTAGGTACTGATCATCTGATGTGTATATTCAAGAAACGTCTCGCCAGCCAGCCCAGGTCTCAAGTAGGTATGGGCAGTGGTGGGGCCAGGTGAACGTACCGGTCACCGTTAGGCTGTAGCTATTAGGGTGCTGGCATACCCGGTGGAGACCACCGGGGAACTTAGGCACACCCACCGGGCAGTGCTGGGTGATGCATTGGGGGATCCCCGCGGAGCTAGGTAATCAGGGGGCCCACTTGAACAAGAACGACGATTTGAAATTGCAGCGAGCACAGACGGAGATGAGTTTGCTCCACTGCGTGCGCCCAATCCAAAACTTGTAGGCGTCTTGTGGATGATTGTGACCTCATTTTGATGGACACTTCTCATATCAAGCCGTGAAAAGGCTCCTGATACGAGGCTCAAAATATTGACCCTAAATATTGTCCCAGCCACTTACCAAACTCAAAGGCCTGGTTTGCTTGGTTCAACTTCAAGTTTCGTGAGGAAAGCTGAGCTGGCGAAAGACTTTGGAGAGCATATCGGGGTTTGGAGGGGCAGGACTTGCTGGAATCGCCAACGGGCTCAAGACGTGGGGGACAAAGGCAGCCACCATAGCGCCTAAACTTTTACAAGACTCAGGCGGTGGCGCACCCTTCAGCGTTGTGTACAGCGAATGATTTTGATTGCGGAGAGGAGAAGTTAAGGAGCGTTCGGGACTATCTGCACAAATGTGGGAGTAGCAGTGTACTTGTGTCGAGACTCAAGACATGGCCATAGCGGAGTGCACAACGCTACATGTGCCGCGAGTACAAATTTGGAATGCTGGGCACTTAGATGCCTTGAACGGGCACTTACTCCTATCGTTGATAGGACGGCCTATAACAGTTTGCAGCCTTCAAGCTTTGGAGTCGTGAAGGCCTAGGGAATCCGATCAGCTCCATCAAGTACTTAAGGGGAAGTTTCAATGACAAAAAAAACTGCAAGGCCCGTGGAGAAGTTCTGACGAAATTCGCTTGCACCTAGAGCATGCCAGGCATGTAAAAGTCGTTCTTATACTAAGTTGTGGCGGCAGAACTCGGGCGCCGAGTGAGCAGGAGTGTACGAGCAGTTGAGACGTTCGGTTTATGCGCACCTGCTGATCAATGGATGTATTTCGTGTGCATCGACAAGTAGGCAAATTTGTGCTTTAGGGCACTATCAACGGAGATCTATGATGCAGCCAAATTCTGCTTGGAAGTCGGCGCGCGAGCCCTGTTAGCTGCGTGATTGTCCCGGCCCTCTGCACGGGCCCGGGCGACTCTTATCAGCTTACGTTATATGGCCCGATAGCTGATGGCTATACGCTCTTCGTGAGAAGATCGAACTATAAGGAGTAAACTTCAGACAGCAGAGCCACCCCGGAGCAAAAGATCCGAGCAGCGAACGAGTTACATAGTAAGTAGAAACGCTACATTACTGGGCTACTTCTTCCGAAAGCCTGACCGTTTCTTCTCCTCTATATTTTCAGAAAAGTATGCTGGAAGACGTTGGAAAGTAAAGAGCATGCACACAGCTGCGTTCTGAGAGCCAGAGGAACCAGTCACCCGGCACAGGGCGGAGGCCAGACTTTCTCCCAGTAGTGGACAATATAGCTAGGCTCGAGCAATTCATCCCCGGATTCGTGTCCCGGTCAGCTTGTCGAGGCAGTCGGATTTGAGTAGCCCGACGAGTGGACCAGCTGGGAAGCAGACGAGAATACCCGGGAACACGCAGTACCGGAGACATGTACCACGGGGACCGATGTCCACTTCCGTAATAAAGACCAAAAGACGCAACTCCTGAGACACCGTAACAGGAGAGAGCGTAGAGCCCAGGAGAACGTAGTCGGAAATGCTTTTGACCCCCTTACTGCAGCGCGCTGTAAATAATTATGCAGGCATGATGCAACCCGCGGAAACATCGAGGGCGTCAAACCAAAAAGCGGTCGATGGGAGGCAAAAAGGGGAGTTTGGTTGGAAGTTACAATATTCCTGAAATGTATTCAGTCCGAATCCTTCTACAGAGTAGCTGGTCGGAAGTTCGCAAATCCCCTGTTCCGATGGCTTCGCTAGGTTTCAAGTTGATCTCTATCGTTGCCCGTCCTGGAACCTAATAGCCCTTCTTTTCTCCCGCCTCTCCAAAGCAGGCACACCCAAGACCGGCTCAACGGTAAAGCTTAGTGACGTCCCGATGCCCCTCAGTCCCCGAGGTCTCTGTTGAGGAGTCTTCTGCTGTTGTGCGTGCGCATCCTTACGTCTAGATCTTGCAGATCCCGCTCTCGTGGTACTGCTGAGGAAGAGTCGAAGTCAGACCAAATCTCGAGTTGTTCTGGACGTCGCCATTTTTTCCGTTCTCGACCTCTTGCTCGGTTCTCGCCTTCCCGTTCTTTCCTCGAGCAGGCCCCATGTTTCCTGATGCTTGCCGCTTTCCGTGCTCATTTCACATTGCAGCTTTCATTCCCGTTTTCCCTCCACAAATTAAGGCGCGGTCCTGTTTCCCGGCTTCTTCTCAGGCTCCGCCCTGTTCATTTTGCCCCTATAAGTCCCTCGACGCTGATGGATACCTCCGCGGCTCTAGACTTTTGGTGGTGTTGACGTTCTGACCATGCTCTTCGGACTTGCTGTCTGACGTCATCGGAAGGTGTGCGTTCACACTAATCACTTCGGATCGCGTCAGGGTTCCGTTTGGGGGGCAATCGTCCGTCACTGGGCTTAGGCCGCTGGCCTGCTCTAATGACCAAGAAACGTGCACAAGCTTAGTTAAGACCAAGGATAAGACCCAAACTTGGGCTGCTTCGGATCCCCACCAACAACCACCGAGCTGACTTCTGTCGTGCTGCTTTCAATCGTCATGTATGTCGGGTCTAGCTGAGTGACTCAATCAACAGCAACATCTGACAGTTTGAACGTGCCTCGTATCGTGTGGCCAGCACGGCCGGTTCTGAACTGCACTTTGCCGTATGTATTATCCAACCTAAGTAAGCCTCCCCGCCTGCAAAGGAGGGCGCTGCCTGCCGCTAATTCCGGCGGTACAGATACACCGCCAGGCCAGGCGCGCGCGCGCCCTCCTTCATGCGGCTCGAGGCAAATGCTAGAGCTCGGCCTTCCCGTCGCGGTCACCAAAGTTTTGCCCCGCAGCTCGAGGATCCTTCCTGCAGCCCAATTTTCTGCATTCTAGCTTTCCACTTCAGCTTCTCAAAATCACCAATACGTGATACAGACGTAAATTCGATCCGGGTCAGTTACACACACTTTTCGTCACTGAAAACGGACTTGCAGCCATTGCAGTGGTTGTTCAGATGCGTATAAGATGGTTTGGCTGCTGATAATCAGGTGTTCTTCAAAGATACGAGCGCCTTAAAAGTTAACGTACCAAAAGCAACCATCATAGTACTCATATTTATTTTGAGTGGTCGGACCACATTAATTTCCGCCCAAGTTCGGGCGTCATCGAAGCATACGTGCATGAGGCCGGGAGGTGACACAGTTGCCTGTATATGGCACGCGAATCACTTACTAAGAAACATAGTGAGCGCAACCCAAGAATGTAACGAGTCGTCTTTAGTGCGCGAATAACGGGATTCTCAGGTGTCGTCTTGAGTATCAATCAAATGGTAGGAGCCGGCCCGATCGACAATTGCAGACGGTTAAATCACAAGCGTGCCACCTGCTGAGCTTGTTTAGAAAATGTGACGGCGTTCGTCTGTTCAGCTTAAGCAGCTACTTAGCCGCGCTAAACAAAAAGAAAGTTCTAGGTCGGACTCAATGTGCTTCCTAACAACTAGTCCGCCTCGGGATTTGACTCCATTGGCTCGTGAATTGGAGACTGTTCTCGGCATTGACTACTCTGCAATCACTTACTGTCGTACTGACTGCCTTCCTAAACGTCCTATTTCAAAGTGCAACGGATGTTCCGTTGCGGCACGACCCGGTGGTTGATCCTACTGCGCAGCGTTCCCTGGTTGATCTCTCGTTGCATCGGTTTACGTAGCGCGTTGTTCTACTTGGAAGCAACTGACTAACGTCACCCCAATGTCTATCATGTACAGCTAATTTGTTAACGGCTTGGAGCCTGATGACCGTTCCCCGGCAATAAGTTGGAAGTCGAAGTTTGACTGCTACGAGACTTCTAAGGTGAGCCTGCTGATCACCTCATTCAAAGGCTCACTGAAGGCTTATATGTTGCTGAGTATTTAAGACAAGGTATCAGTCCACCTTTGCATAAATTTTCCTGGAGAGCCTTATTCAGATCAAACCGCCGCTTGAGGCTCACGGAGCTTTCTCTTGCCGCTCAAACACTCCTGCTTCGGCGCAAATTTGCGACCATCTTAGTCCGGGTGTCCGGCTTCATAGGTTGCACAGTCCAATAAGACAAAGAACCGGTCGGTGCAGCCACAAGCCACTCAGGGTATGTGCCGAGCGCTCCACCCAGTACAGCAGATTCCTGAAAAAACGTGGCAAAAGGGGCGTCTTGTGGACCTTCTGTTACTTGGAATCCTCATCAGTTGGAATCCTCAAGGTTGTTCATCGTGATGATTGTATAGCGTGTCTAAGATCTCAGACAGTCTACCGTACGCTCGCCTTTCCTTTGTCGGAGTCCTTGCGGCCTGAGCTCCCTCATAATCGACACGTGGGCGGTTCATCGTTTGCAGCGCATGCGCTCCAATCATCAGGTTAAAATTCGACGCAACGGTTTCCGATGATGCAAGCAGCGAAGGCACTTTCTCAACGCAGTCTGCCGTAAGCCCAGATGCATGCAAGTATGCAAAGATGCATTTATCTTCGTTGAAGCTGCCTTATTTTTGCAGATCCTACCTGCAACGGCGCAAGCGGGACCATGCCGTGTGACGTCAGCAAGCCGCCCAAGCCGTCTCCCGCGGGCGGCCTCCAGCCGGTCTCGGAGGAGGCGAAGTGGGCGCTGGTCCAGGGGGCCAGTCCACCCGGTGATTCAGCCCCCCTCTGCGGTTGCGGCCCGACCAGGACATTTGGCGGACGGAATCCGTCCACGGAATGCGGCGGGGACGGGACAACGGGGGATAGTGCCGGTAAGGCGCCGATTGGGCTCAGATAAATGCTGTCCGGCCAACTCGCGTCATGTTGGTCGAGTTCTGGAATGACAAGGCGGGGCGGCGCAAGCGCGCAGGGCTTGGGGACCGGCGAAGACGCGCCGGGCGCCGGCTCTGAATCGAGAAAGGAGAGACATGGTGGGCGGCGATTGAGACCGGGCGGTCGTATTTACGCTTTTAGTAGTGCGTGGAAAAACTGTAAATATATCGATTGATATTGTGCCCATTCTAGCTGCGAAGAAGCAGATGTCAAAAAGCACTAGGCTTTGTGCCCGGTGAAGACGCGCCGGGCGCCGGCTCTGCGTTGAGAAGGAGAGAATCGTGGGCGAAGATTGAGAACGGGTGGTCTCTTTGAGGTTTTGGTGAATGGGGTATAAAATAACCGCAGATAACTTTTGCAATTTAGTCGCAGAATTCGTAGAGCACCATGCAGGTTTTGTGACTGGTGAAGAATCACCGTGCGCAGGCTTTGCGTCGGCAAAGGAGAGGAATCGTGAGCGGAGAGTGAGACCAGGCGGTCTGCTTTACGCTTTTGGTGCGTGGAAAAACATGAATGCAGACGAGTTATTGCTTTCCTCTGCAAGTTTGTTGCGAAAAAGCAGACTTTGAAGCGGAAAGTTTTTTGCCCGGTGAAGAAGCGCCGGATGAGAGACATGATTGGCAAGAATTTAGACGGGGTGGTGATCATATCGTGGGCAAAGGATTGCACTTGGCGGATGCAAGAAGAGCACAGACAGTGTTTAATTGCATTAGGGGAAAACGGAAAATGTAGTCGCAATGACGCAGATGATCAACAAAGTCGTTTCCCAAAACGAGCATGTGGGCGTTTGGCTCTCCTGCTCGTCCGTTGGCTGAATGAGTCACCAGTCGGCGTGACGCGTAGTACGTAGATTGGTTAGACTGGGACTATGCCTCCAAACATTCAGAGACTTAGCTCGGAAAGCTTCCTTGCAAGCACTAAGTTCTTTGTTTTCCTTTGGACAGTCGATTGACGTACATTGGAAATAGGAACTGCCGAGGGTTTTCGATTTAGGCTCGTGTATCGATATCTTTGAAGCGCCAAAGTCAGTTTGAAAGCGGATGGCTGCCAACTCACAAAGGTTGAATGATCCTTCTTGCCAGCGAGGCCCCGCCAAACGTTTCGGAACGCAGGCATACTAAAGGCACTTTCGCAACCTGTTCTATCGAAGTTTTTCACCGACGGCTCCTACACTTCGACAGAGTACCAAACGAAGTCGACGAACCTGATTGGGTCGTTCTCTTGTTCTCGAGCCTTCCACCTCCGGGCGGCCACGTCTTCTCTTCCGCGGCCGCCGAGCAGGCGCTCTCTGCGCGCCAGGCCCCGTTCGCGGCGGGGTCACCCGCGAAGCTACGCGCCGCCCAGCTTGACACAGTCGGTCCATCAATCACGAGGCCTCCAGACGCCTCGGTCCCGGTGCTCGCGGCCCTCTCGAGCGTCGCCACGTGGCAGTAGTACGGGACCGGCGTGCACAGATGGACGATTGGGAGGCTGCTGCTGCTCTGCGTTTTGGGAACCGATGGCAGGTGGAGGAGATTCGCGGGAAGGTGAGGTGAGCACGAGTCGCTGGCGGGGTAGTCGGGCCACTGAGAAAACGGCGGGTTTCTGCGATAAGAAAGATGAGGCGTGAGTGGATCCGGACAGACACTTGTCACACTGTGCGTGTCAAGATTGTTTACTAACCTTTAGGATGTTTTGGATGAGCCAGAAGTATCATCTGCGCTTGCTGCTGGGTCTGATTCCTGGTGATTGTCTCGCTGCTGATTTGATTTGCTTTTATAAGATTTGCGAGGCGTCTTAGGTACTCGATCACGATTTTTACACGTTTTCCACTGATAAAGACCCAGCATCCTTCCGAAGTAAAGGCTAGCGAGGCGATGCTAACTGGCAGAAAAAACTTCGTTCATTGTGGTACCGCAGAAGACTCTAATTCTGATCCAGAACAGCGCCCACAAAAGCCGGCGAAAACGTGTCCAAGCAAAGCCTCTCGCAGTATTGGATGACACCGCGCCATTGTCTGAAATTGATCAGGTCAAGGTCTGACGTGGATGCTCAAGAAATTAACACCCGGGAACGCCACGAGAGCGTCGTTTGTTGTTAAGTACTGAACTGCGAAGTCTATATTATGCTGAAATCCCAAAATGCGGCCGTCTATTTAGGACCGCTTACCCCGGACCCACGTAGCTTTCATCTGGCAGCACAGGACCGGTGCAAGTCACCGGGACGTCCATCGCCCCTCGTGCCCGGTAATCCGCAGCCGGTACGTCGATTGGAGCCCCGGGAAGGTGCTCGGCACAGAAAACCTCCTGTAAAGATCTCCAGTTTACTCGATGCGAGTACGAAAAGGAATGAGAAATCCTTTGCGTTCGTTTGATTTCTCCGACCAGGTTGCAACTCAGAACGTTTGTGTCGTAGTCTGATCTTCTCTCTTCTGAGAAGACTCACGAAGGGCCATGGGGATAGATTGGTCGCTTGACGCCTACTGAAGATGGCCATACCTGTTGTGTCCGGGCAGTCATAAACGCTCCGGCTCTGGTTGAAAGACTAGGAGACATCTGGGACGTTCTCAAAAGGTTTCGTGGTGTTTCCTCAATGGAAAAGTCGGTAGTTCTTACGACAAGGTTGGGCGTTTGGACGATGTGAAGTACGAGTCAAAGTCCAATTTAGAATGCCTTTACTTGCTATTTAACACCTTGGAGAGTTGCTTCCTGCAACTCAACGAAGCAAACAAGACTTGCGAACAAAGGGGGAGAGGCAATCACACTAAAGCACAAGAAGCGGTACACTGAGACTGCATCCGTTACAGAGGGAAAGCAAAGAGTTGCAAGTCGCATTATCCGCAACCTTTGAAACAAGGATCGGCCTGTACTCCCTGACTGTCTGACATATCTCGACACGTGTCTCCTTCGCTTTTCATCATGCCGCCTTGGTGAGTACCTGCGACCCGTGGGAGTGGACGGCTCTCATCGCACACAAGGATGACGTGGCACACGCAGGGCCGTCGACGATGTCGGACCCGCAGCTGGCCGTGCCCGCGCCGCTCTGCTCTGCCGCCTCCCATTCGAGCGCCTTCCTCCGCTGGCGCTCCATCTGACGGCGCCGAGTATGCCACGCGTTCTTGACCTCGTTGTCCGTTCTGCGGTTGGGATTGACGGATTGACGAAAGGTATGAAGAGTCTCGAAGTCATTTATGAATAAGGGCCATGTGTTATAAGGTCACTGTCTTGGACGAGTGGGCTTTGGGGTGAAACGGGTACGGCGCGTATTAAGACTTGGCGGCCAGGGTTCTTACTGCTGATCACCTCCTTATTTCACATGGCCTTGATGCAGTGCGATATGGAATCATAGAAGCTTGAAAGAGTTTGGAACCTGGTGTCGAACTTGGTTTGCGGTCTTGGCTGGGCAAATGAGGGGCTTGCTAAGGGCCGTTGACCTCTTCAAAAGGTGGGCTGAGCTTTGAGCCCCTGGCGGGCTAGGATTTTGGTGACATTGGGCAATTATATGCGAAGGTTTGGATCATTGGATCAGGAAGTTGGAAGGCGATCTGGTCAAGGCGCTTGACAGAAGACCAATGAAGAGAAGTTGAAGGTTGGAAAAGAGCGTCTGCGAAATGGTTCCCGTGACCAAATCATCTAGAAGCTTTTATCTCTCACATTTGTGCAGATGTTCTGAGAAAAGCATTCTTGCTCCAGCTCACAAGTCAAGGAGCAAAGAGCAAACGACGAGTTCGATAATGCGGAAGTTAGAAGCCTTTGAAGGAAGCTGCAATCACAAGAAACTGGTTTCAAGCATGCAAGGCCTACAGCCACATGAAACCACTATTTGACAGCAAAAATAGGTCCGTTCATTGCCTGCTTTGAAGGTAGTTGAATACTGAATATCAGGCCGCAGTCTGAGCATCTCATAGATCAGGCTTGCTTCCCAACTTGTGCAGTGATGTATAGCATTGCAAATCGAAGACCAATAAACCAATGTAACATCTTAAAACACCTATGGTGAAGTGACAACCCCTTTAAGGATAGGTGCATGCATCGTCACTTCCAGCCTCTAGGAGGCCGGAGCGATCTGTGTGTCCAGAAGAGATGCCAGACAAGGGGAATTGCAGGGGTAATAAGGTCAGCTGGAGGGCTCTTCCCAATGAAACAGTGCAAACGCCAAGAAGAAATGGATCTGTGGTCAACCAGACGAGGTTAAAAGGTTCATTTGAAGTCTTAAGCTGAAAAGGCCTCTCTCAGCCTTGTGTAGTTTAGATAATGTGCTCCACTCAGGTCCTGAGCTCTGGAGCAAGCATTTCAGAACCCGATCTACAAATGGTGAACACCCTTAATCAACTTGAGGCCTCTTCCTGGTCAGTCTCGAGTTAGTGTCTGGTTTGCCCCTGCTTCGCTCACCTCCCCTTGAAGTGGTTGGCAATGAGCGCCCACTTATTCCCATAAAAGCTCTGGGGCTGCATCACAAGGTGCAGTTCTGCGGTGGTGAAACGCTGCCTCTTCAGGTTGGGGCGGAGGTGGTTCATGTATCGTAGCCGGCAGCTCTTTCCCTGAGCGTTGAAGCCCGTAAACAATCTAAAAGAGGAGAAGGGAATATGTCAAGTTTTGATTCCTTCCATAATGTTCTGTTTCAGAAGCTGCGGTTTGGATGGATTGGCACCGGTTTGAATAGGCGGAAGGGGGTGGTCAAGTTTCACTTTGCATTTTGAGGATCTGTGCAGGGGCTTCCATTTGACTGGTCTAGCATCTTGTAATGAATCAAGATGGTACCTGTTCCATTCAAGAACTTATACGACAGGTCACAAGGCAATAGTTTGTGATCTATTCTGCAAACCAGGCAGCTCTGTCAAATGACTGAGCTTATTGGCACCTTCTCATCAAGGACCACAAGGCTTAGCAATCTGCCTAGCTCAATAATGTGTAGCCTTCATAATTAACCTGCAGCGTCGCTCCAAGCATTTCTACTGAGCTGGAATAAGAGGCAAAGTCAGCCTGACCCTGTGATCCTGTCCTTAGCCCCTATCGGAGATAAACTGACCAAGTTTTCCCAAAGGTATTTCTCTTGCGCAACCAATACTGAAGAGGCTGCCAGTTGGTATCCTGCATAGACTTTCATAATAAGGACATACCTAACTCATAATGCATCTGGGCAACGAACTGTATTACTGTTCCAACTGGAAGGACGCTGCCTGACACGCAATGCACCTCTCTCCAAAGCCACAGTCTTTGGCACCTTATAGAACTGCCTCTATACACTGCACATTTGTGAACATCCGCATCTGGCTCCCAGCGGCCTTCAGGAAAGCAAAACTACACTTAACAAGGCACGTAGTTGCAGGGAGCAGGATGAGTACATTACAGCAGCAAAGGCAGAGCTAGCACTTATCGCCCCACCTTAACGCTCTTCCAGTCCTTCTCTCCATTCGTCGCTACATGTTTGCGCAAAACTTGATCCTCAACGTCCGTCCAGGCCCCCTTCCACATCGGTTCTGGCGCCCCTTCCTCCAGGGGGGGTGGATTTGCCTCTTTCATCTCCCCTACCAAGTCGTTGGTCCGGCCAGAAAGACCTGACTCCAAATATTCGTTGTCAGAATACTCCCCGACACTTGCCGCCCTTTGCCAGGTCAGCCCCATGCTGTTGGCTGTCCAATGGCCGGCAGACAGCCTATGGCCCGCTTTGTACACGCTCGTCATGCTCAAACCAGAGCGATCATTTGCTGGCCAACTGCACCAGGCGTGCGTCGGCGCCCCAGGCTTTGTCACAGGCGTCCCCCATCGTTGACACCTACTGTTGCAACCGCGTCCTTGTGACAGTATGCTTGAGCTTGACTTACAATCAAAGTTGGCCTTGTCATGTGCACACAGACTGAAGCATGAAGTACTATTGCGCTCACGAGTCTCTACAAGGGCCTGATCCCCAGTCAAGGCACGTCCTGGCTTCAAATGTGCTGAGTTGAGCTTGCATTGGGCCTTGATGGCCTGCTCCGATTGGCTCAGCCGGCAGCTTATGGATT